ATGATTAATTGATTATCAAAATAGCTGACTCATCAACTAATCATTGAAGTCCTACATACATATAAACTATTTGGTTTCAGTGCATCTACCCATGTGAACCATCAAATGATAAAAAATACTCTCACATATACAGTGTAAAGAAACTTTAAAAATCCCTACCTACTAACAAATGTTGCCACTTCAACATACTACATCTATTTTTCAGCTAAATGTGGATATGCTCCAGAGTCTAACCGGCGATGGAGTGATGAATGTTCAGGAGTTTGTTTCCAGGGTTGTAAACCACAACAAACCCCCGACACCGTCCGCCTCCACACCCTACAGGCAGCTCAAACGCCTCCACTCCACTCAGGTACGTCATTTGTTTGCGGAGCCTCTACGAGGTCACACAATGATGGTAATTCCCTTGTTGTTAATTAATTTCTGTTAATTAATTATTTTTAGCTTTATCTGTTGTAGATTTATTTAAGTTTTTTACATAGTCAAATATCTATCATTTGAAAAATAGGCATAAAGCAAATGGCAAAAACAGGTTGAATTTGGTCCCACATAATGCAGTAAGTGGAATTTTAGAGATCAACTCTCTAGTAAAAATACTTTATCCCCCCATACAGCCCTTTGATGAGGGAGGCCGTAGGATAGCCACTCCTTCTGCCCTGACCAGCACCATTGGCATGCGTCTCTTCTCCACCCTTGATGATGGTACCGGTTTCACTCCCGTCGAATACATCCTGGATGCCTGGATGGAAGAGGGAATAGAAAACAGCACAGAGATCCTGCAGGTACCGCAGTCTTAAATATTATCTGCATTTTAAATTTTACTCCTTTGTACATTTTGAAACAGACAACTGGAGACAGGAAGGAGTCAGATATGCAGTTTAGGAAAAAATCTTCAAAAGACAATTTTTCCATTTACTCCGTTATGCAAATAAGCAAATCATTTACTAAAGTATTAAATATATGTGTACTTATATTCATTTATATTTGTTGCAGGCTTTGAATTTCAACATAGATGGAAAAGTGAGTCTTAGTGACCTCACCATGGCACTTGAAAATGAGCTACTCGTTACTAAGAATGGGATTCACCAAGCGGCACTGGCGAGCTTCAAAGCTGAGATCAGACATCTTCTGTGAGTATGAGTCATCACTGTAATGCAGCTCATTCAGATCTTTGTTTGTATTTCATTAACTATTTTTGCAATAGTCTAAAATAAAACAAGATGAATAAAAACCTGCAGGATTGTTGTTGGTTTGTTTCTGTTCATTTGCAATAAATAAATCTTTACTGTTTTTCTCTTGACAGAGAGCGAGTAGACAGAGAACTCAGGGAGAAAGAGAAAATCCGATCTGACCTGGAGAAAGCAGACAAGCTAAAAACTCAGCTTGCCACTGAGGTGGATGAGCATCACTCTGCAATTGAGCACACAAACAACCTCAATCTCAGGTAATTCATCCCTCAGATTACACCAGTTCTCTCTTTTTCAGTTTGTTTTACAATTGTATCACAGCAAGAGGCCTCTGTCCTCTAAGGTGTACAGAATAATTTGATTAATGTTTAACTGTGTCTTTCTCCTTCCCTACGTCTTGGCCTCATTCCTGAGTTGGATTTTAAGGATTAAGCTACTAAAGGATTTTAGCTGGCACCCTTTATTCCACCCATTCATAAAGACTGAAGCAAATTATAATTGTTATACTTTCACATAACATATATTAATATATACAGTATGTTTTATTTAATTCAATAACATCCATTCCTGCCAAGTCCAGCCTAATCCTAACATTTGGCCCACTCAGTGTTATAGTTGTCTCTGAATATTGTATTTTTCAGTATGCACGCATTACACTCTGTTGTATATTCTCTGTGCCTGAATGTCTACAGGAAGCTTGAACAGGACCACAAAGAGAAGTTAGCAGCAGTACGATCCGAGCTGATGAAGGAGATGGATCAGCTCCAGCAGCAGGCCAACCTGCAGCGTGAGGAACTGGAAGCAGAGGTCGAGAAGATCAGGGAGGATGAATCTTTTCTCAGAGACCACCTCTCCATCTCTGTGAAGGTACCAGAAATATTCATGGTGATATAATGTGGTGATGTTTGTAGTTTATGTCTCTTTGGTGTTTTTATATTGTTTATTGATGCTTAAAAGATCATCTGCTTATCCAAAAAAAGATTAAATCCTAATTGTAAACATATCCTGTGCTGTTGGTGTCGTTATTTTTTAGGAAAACAGACGTCTTGAAATGGAGTTGCTGGACAGCACTGAAAAACTAGTGGAGGCCCAAAACCAAATTACAAAACTGCAGACAAGTGTGGACAACATTATAAAAGAAAGGGTATGGAGACATTTTATGGCTACCCATTAGGGGGTTTTGGCATGTCAATACTGATTCCTCTGTTGTTGGTGTCATTAAAACATACACATACTTGTGCTCACACGTGTGTGTTGTTTTTCTTCTTGCTTTTTTGTTTATGATTTGATTTTCTGTGTTCACTCTCCTCTTCTGCCTAGCTCCTATTTGTCTGTGTCAAACTACTAACTTGAGAATGATCTTATTTTCTTTTAGTTTGGAGGCTTGGACCCTGGCAGTGCAGATTTCTTCCTCCAAGAAGAACGTATTAAACAACTACGCAGCAGCTACGAAGCTCAGTGCAGGGTGAATATACTGTATTATATGTAATGAGAGGACTAATTATTTTATTCATTACACGTGTTTAACTTGTTATGCTCTTATTTGGTAGGAACTGCAGGATCGTATTGATGAGCTGCATTCAGAGTTGCAGGAGTTCCACAGTCTTGGACGAGTTCATCAGCCCTGCCACAAACCTCTCTCTGAAGAACTGGAGAGTAAAAGCCCTGGCATGGAGTCTGATCCAGGTAGACCTAATGAATATATACAGCTTGCATGAATACAAACACATACAGTCCCCGGAGAACTCATTACAGAGCACTAAGTACATCTGTTCATGACAACACTCAGTACATAGAAACCCTGTGTTAAATGTCACCAGCTTACTTGACTTTTTGCAGGTATCGGTTCAGAGGAGGTTCAGCCGTTCAGCATGAGCCTTGAGGCAGAGATGATGTTGGAGCATCTGAAGGAGCAGCACCTTCAGGAAATGGAGGAGTTGCGAAACCAGCTGGAAAGCAAAGTTAGTCTAATACATATCGTTTTCATTCTGTTAGATTGTGAATTGAGAGAAGATGCTTAGTATATGCTGGTATGTACTTGTACTTGGTCTTTAGCTGGTCTTGTTGGCTGCATGACAGTTCTGTACTTTGCATTAAAAGTCACACTATTCATTTCAGTCCTCTACATTCTTTATATCACCACAGGTCAATGAATTCGATAAGATTGTAGAAAAGCAGAGGGCGACCCATGAGGACCAGAAAACTACTTTAGCCCTCCAGTACCAGCAGGAGGTCCAGGTTTTGAGGGAGGAGATGGCCAGCATTCAGATCCACGCACAGGAGCTCCAGAACCAGCTAGAGCAGGCGGAGCTGGAGCGGACCTGTCTGGAGCAGACGCAGGCCGAGGAGAGGGAAGAGCTTGAGAATCTGCAAGAGGAGGAAGTGGGAACTCTCAGACAGCAGCTGCTAGAGGCCCACACCTACACTGCAGACCTGGAGGAGCAGCTGAAGACCCTCGAAGCCCAGCAGGCAGAAATGGATGAAAACCTTGTCAACGATATGAAGGAGCTGAGGAAACAACAAGCCACTGAGATTAAGAAACTGGAGGAGGAGCATGTAGAGCTTTGTGAAGCCAGACTGGAAGAGGAGAGAAAGAAACTGCAGGAAGAACAGGCTGAGTTGGAGAAGAGATTGATAGATGATTCCGAAAGGGAGAAGGAATTATTGCAACAAAACCATGAGAATGAACTGAAGGCCAGACTAGATGAGGCAAAGGTGAGGTTTGAGGAAGAGCGTGATGAGATTGTGCAGAGACTGACAGAGCAGTGGCAGAAAGAGAGAGCTCAGTTAGATGAGCAGAATAATGAGTCTCTGCAGGTGGTGCTGGAGGAAGAGATGTTGAGACTCGTCAGGGAACAAGAAGAGAAGGAGAGCAAGCTCAGGGAGCAGTGGGAGATTGAACGAGCCCAGCTTCAGGAGCGTCACGAGGAGGCTCTGCTCGATAGAATACTTCAGGAAAGGTTGCAGTTACAAGAGCAGTTTGAGCAGAGGGAGAAAAAGCTGAAGGAGGAGTGGGAAAGGGAGAGACTGCAACTGGAGGAGGATTACGAAGGGATGCTCCAGGATAGGTTGAATGAAGAGAGGGAGAAGCTTGAGATTAAGAAGGAGGAGGAGGAGAAGAGGCTAGAATTGTTGATGGCAGAGCAGAGGGCTCATCTAGAGGAGAGCCACCGAGAGGCCATGAAGGAGCTGACTCTCAAGCACACTGAAGAGAGGGACGCTCTCAGCAGCACGTTGGACAAACTTCGACATAACATCATTCATGAGAGGTGAGACATTGGACTTTTTAAGAGATTGTATTAATGTCGTAACTTCTTTATCAATGAAACTAGCTGCGAAATTGTTTTTCAAAATTTGGGGAAATGTCCTTATTTGTTGTCTTGCAGTGTGGTCAAACAACACACAACCATTGGACAGAGCCATGCTAGCTGTTTCCTGTCTTTATGCTAAGCTAACTTAGGCTGCTGGCTTTAGTGCTATATTGAACGGACAAATTCAATCAATCTTCTCATCAAACTATTGCGAGAAAGCAAATAGGCATATCCCTCACACTGTTGCTTTAAAATAATCTAATAATCTTTTAAGAATCTTGATTTTTGCTGTACTATTACGAGTTCACAACTGTTGCTGTAACAATCCATTAAATAACCATGTACAGGAGGGAAATCGAGGTCAGCTTCACACAGAGAATCAAAGAAGTGGAAGATCGTTTCTCAGGTGATCAAGAATCTGTTGCAAAGCGTTTTCAGGCCGATGTTTTGAAACTTGAACAGCACTACCAAAGTGAGCTGAAGGCCCTTTTTGATAGCCATGTCGAGCAGAAGCTCCACTGGGAGGCACAGATACAGGAGGCCCTTGAGAACGCTGGGGAACAAAGAAGAATAATGGAGGAGGCCATGGAGCAAGAAAGAGAGAGCCTGGATCAACAGTGGAAAAAAGAACGACATGAGCTAGAAAGTCTTCATAAAGAGGAAATGGAAGAACTGGCGACGAAGAACCGGCAACTGCAAAATGAACTTGATGAGTTTATTAGCAGGGCTCAGACTAAAGAGATAGAGCTAAGTAGGCAGCTGAATGACCTCCATAACCGGCTGCAGGAAAGCCTGGAAACCAAGGATGAGCTTCTTGCTCAATCTGAGATGAAAGCGCTTGAGACTGAACTTCTGCTAAATCAAATAGTGGAAGATTTTAAACAGGAAAGGGCAGAACTTCTGAGCCACCAGTCAGAACTTGAAGCAAAAAACAACGAGATGCTTTCCATTTCTGAGAGGCAGATTATTGAGAGGATACAACTGTTAACTGAGCGCGATGATTTGAAGATGAAGATCGAGGAGCTGGAGATGCTGCTTAAACAGGCAGCAATGGACTTTGAGCTTGAGAGGAAGGAGCTACAGGAACATGTATCCATTCTTGAGCAAAAGGTACAAGATAATGTAGACAATGACAGAGAAGAGCTTATAGCAGAAATAGATCTGCTTAAAATCAGAATCAAACAGCTAGAGATGGAATTGAATCAGGTTTTGTCTTCCGCAGAAAAGGAAAAGGAAGAATCAAATGAAATAAACACCAGAGACACATGTTCGGCCCCAGAAAATATTTGTCTTGATGATGTTATACTTGAAGATCAGGAACAATTCCTGACAGAACAAGTTGATGTAGAGACTATAATGGATGCAGTTGATGGATGTTCTGAAAATATCAAAAACACTAATAATGAATATGATGAAAAGGTCCCTGCTAGTAGTAATGATCAAGGAGACAACTTGCCAGAAGTACAGACAGATTCCACTGTTGCTGCTCCAGAAGATGACCAAAATGGAGATTCAAACCCTGAGGAAGTCGAAGGAGACACCGAAGTGGGTTGTTGCCCTGCAGAAATTGGACACGAAGACCTTGAATCGACATCCTGTGATGTCAAAAACTCAGATTCCCCGGTCCCAGATGAAAGTGATTCAAATGTTGAATCCAAAAAGGAAGCGGTTTCCCCAGAGTTGCGGTGTGAGGCGGCCTCAACCCCTGAGGCGTTTGAAGGTGTAGATGCAGATGAAGATGGTGGGAATAAAGTAGCTCTTGAATCATGTGAGGAGGAGAACAAAACTCACGATGTACCAGCATTGGACAACGAAAGCTCTTCCCATGAAGATGAGCTATGTCATGAGACTGTGGTTGATCCCTCAGTGCTGGAGGACACAGGTGACCCTGATGAACTGTCTCTGGTGGATGCTGAGGTTACTTGTTTATCAAATAACTCTCACGACCGTAGACAGGAAGTTGAAATTGATTCAGATTCAGACTGTGAACATTTAACCGCTAAAATGGTGGATGAATGTGCACATGATTGCCTGGAAACTCCGGATGAAGATGCTGAGGACAGGGAATATTCTCTCCTTAAACTCCGGGCTTTGTATAACACTGCCACAGAGGAGAACATCCTCCTACATGAGAAGATTTCTCTGCTTCAACAGAAGACAGAAATACTAGAGAATCTTCTGGCTCATAACACTGAAAAGGTCAAAACTGGCCACCAGGTATTGGAGGAAAACTATAGCCTCAAAGTTAAACTGGTACTTTTAATGGAGCATATCAAAGAGCTGGAGGTCAAGGCCTTAAAGATGACAGATCTTCAGATTAGATATGACGATTGCATGTGTGAAAATGCCAAACTCAAGGACCAGAACAATGAACTTGAAAAGAGAGTTTGGAGCCATGAAAGCAGGATGAATATTTTCCATGATTTCCATGATTTCCAAGACCAGCAGATTTCCCTGGTGGATGAGATCGACAGAATGAGAGAAGATAACCATAAGCTCAGTGAGTTGTTCAGTGAATTGGAGAGGCAGGGTGAGATTATTTCTATGCACTCGGATGCTGGACAATTGGAGAGCCCCACAGAGGAGATTCTCCTGGATCTGACCAGTCAGCTGGAGGTTAAAGTTCAGACAGGGAATCATCTGGAGGACCGCTGTGAGGAGTTTGAGAAGGAGAACAACAGCCTTCGCCGAGCCATCACAGAGCTACAGGACGAGTCGCAGACATTAAATGAAACGACACAGGCTCATAGGTAACGTGGAGAGAAACTAGGAACCCGTCCCTCCATGTGTCCTGTGGCTTCCCGTTGTCCCATCTCTGTGGAGCTTTTGAATTTTAGGAGTGCTCCTCCTTTTGTTCCTAAGCACAACATAGTGCTGTTAGTCCTACCTGTGATTAGGTTCCTCAACCCTTTGTGCATTGCAACAGATCTTGAATGTGTGTTTCTTTGATCCCTGTAGATCGCCAGTGGAAAAGCAAAAAATACTTCAATGTGTGTATATTGTAATTGTAGAATAATATGCTTCAAACCGTATTTAGCAAGTGACTGTCGGTTTTTACATCATCCCACTGAATTATACATGTGTATTTTAACATGTACGGTTTTTATTTTAGCTTTTCTACTTTTTCTAATGAAATTTTGTCTGTCAATAGATCTGAAGCCAGTCGTCTTGCTGAAGAAAACTTCGTCCTCCGGCAAAAGCTTGCTGCGATGAAGGAAGAGGACTTGAAAGAGGCCCAGAAAGAGTTGATGTAAGAAATAACACATTTAATTTGTGAATAATTACTTCTGTTTGTTTTTGTTTTGGCGTGTAAACTGACATTTTCTTCTAATATTTGATTTTAGACAAACATTGGAGCACTTAAAAAAAGGGAAGTTTGCGGCTCAAAAAGCAGCAGAGAATTTCAAGAAACAGGTAAGAGAGTAACTTATTAAAATACGTGTCTATAGTCATGCCAACGGCTCTGTGAGGCTGTAGCATCAGTATGTTCACCATCTTCGTTTAGCATGCTAACACTTGCTTAATAGCAGTAAACACAAAGTACAAATGAGGCTCATGAGAGTGTCAATTTTGACCTGATGAAAAGCCACAGGATCATTCAAGTTATTACGATTCATCCTGAGAACATCAATATGTGCACCAAATATCAAGACAGTGCATCCAGTAGTTGTCCAGACATTTCTCCAAAAAATAAAACTGTCAACCTAATGATGGCACTGGAGGAAAAGTCACAGAACCACCAAAGTCTTTAGGATTTGTCCTCTGGGAACCATGGTTGTATAACATTTCATGACGATCCATAATCCATCCATAGTTTTTAAGATATTGCCATTAGCATGGCTAAAACATCTTCAGAAACAACACAATTAATTCTTCCCTCATTCAGAAGCAGTTAATGAGATTTTCTCCTCCTCTGCAGATTTCAGAGCTGCGTTTGCAGATCCAGCAACTGGAGGATGAGAATGGGATGCTGTCAGAGAAAGATGTCCAAAATGTCGCTGATATGGAGAATCTACGGCAGCAGCTGGCAGAGCTGATAAAGGAAACCGAGAGGAGGGAGGCATTCCCCGCTGAAGAGAAACACAAGGTAAACACAGTGTTTTATGGCAGACTGATTGTCGTCATGGTGTCGTGGAGGTCGTAGCGAGTAGTTAATCGGTGGCTGTTTTGTGTTAGCTGGCAGCTTGTGTGTCTGCTCTGGAGGCAGAGCTGACCAAAGCTCTGGAGGACACTGCACAGCTGGAGAAGAGGAATACCCAGCTGTCACAGCAGCTCTCTGGCCTCAGAGAGAAGGTGAGAACAGGACATGGACGCTTTAATTGATCTCACATTAACCCCATCAAAGCATTACACAGACACAAAGTGATAAAGCATTAAGACCATCTACTCTTGCCATCAAATGACTCCTTCAATCCGAATGAAAACAATTTCACTTTCACAAAAGTGCAAAAGAAAGTTCTGGCCTGAAAGCAACTGTGATCTGCTGAGATATTTTGGTGTAATGTAGAGTTAGCAGTGAAGGATTGTTTAATTAAAACTGTGGTTGTCTTCTGGTTCTCAGGCAGTCAAAGTCGACTCTCTGGAGAATCAGCTCGGCCACCTGGTACAGGAGCGGAAGAGTGTGGATAAAGAGACTCGGGGCCTCCGCAACCAGCTCGACAAAGCTGAGGAGAGGGTAAGTCAAATGTCAAATGATAGATCATCAAACTTTACATTTAGTCCTATTTTTGTTTCCTGACCTTCAGCTAAATTACTGCTAATTAAAATAATAAGATTTGAACCCCAAAAACACTGTCACTCAAGACCAAATGCATTTCTTTCCCCACTCTAGGTGAAGACGGTAGATGAAACTCTTCAGGCTGTGAACCATCAAAGTGCTCGTCTTACGTCAGAATTCTGTGTTTTGCAGCAGGAGAGGGATTTGCTTCAACATGATGTTGCAGTGCTTCAAAAACAGCTGCAAAATGTCACCGATAAAGTACGATTTTGTTACGTTTTTGACTTGGCAGACAAAAAAAAAAAACACCCTTGAGTGCACCATAAACATGAAAAAGTATAAAGATTCTTGTGCTTATTTTGAAAGGGATGTTTGAAAATGATTTGACCTCTTTTGCCTTTGTTCATCACAGAACCGTGTTTTAGAGATGGCCTTGCACTCGAGTGGTCTCCAGAGTCAGAGCAAGAAGCGGTACAGAGATGAGATGTCCCGGCTGATGGAGCAGGATCAGCAGCTACTGAGGCAGGAAAACGAGAGGCTTCAGGCAGAAATGCGCAACATGAAAGCAGACCTTGTGCAGTCCAGAGAGAAGGTGAGCTGAGGACTACAGCAAACTAAGTAATTAGTGTTCCATTTTCTCTCTGTGTTACTAATCTCTAACTTCTTTATTTTATGTCTGCAGGTCCATCAGCTCGATGCTACCATCTTGTCCCTGAAGCAGCATAAACAACCGAGTCAGTCCTCCCTGGTGAAGGCCTTGGAACAGGAGAACGCCTCTCTGAAGCAGGAGCTTGAGGCACAAAAGGAGCTCACCAAGGTATAAACTGCACAAATCGAACCACATTACCTTTCTTTTTGTTTGTTTTTTCTAAACATGCTGATTATGTGGTGCCTGTGTTAATTCTTATTTCATGTGCTTTGTGTGTTTCAGGGCCACGAAGCAGGACAAGGACACACCGAGCTGGAGAGCCTTCAACAAGAAAATGAGGCACTCAGAGCCCAAATGGCTCGACTGTCTACACAGCTGCTAGAGGTAGGTTGTGGTGCCTCCTCTTGTTTTACGGTTATAACATTCATTGATTTGCCTTTGTGTCATTTAAATTTCCTTACTATATGAGAGTATGCCAGGCTTCTTACATGATTAGATTATTGTTAAATAAAATGACCTCATACTGTTTATATCTCTCTTCCGACTGTGTCGCTGACTTCTCTTACATATTTTTATACTTTTGTCCAGACATTTCAGGCTCAGTTGGTTGGACTTCTCCCTCCATCGCCTCACAGGATACCCAGAGGACAGCATCGAGGTGAAGACCCGGACAACATGCAGGTACAGTACGACCCCTTTTTCAAGCTATGTTTTTCCTGAATCAGAAATTTTACACAAAGCGAAAAACCTGAACAAGCACTTCAGTACTTGAATATTTAGTGCCATTGCATCATTACACGGTTTGGTTTTACATTCATCTCCTGGCATTTTTCTCTCACTGTGATCATTTTCCTTTGTCACACTGTAGCCATCTGTTGTTGCAGTTATCATAAATTCATCTTTATTGGCTTTAAGAAGGGAACTTTGACCTACACCTCGCTTTGGAAATGTTTTGGGGATATAATGGGAGTTAGATGTAAATACACCCATTGTATTTCTTTCACTGTCACTTTGTCGTAGAAGGTGTATCCAGTATCCACTTCAATAAATCACTCAGTTCAGGTGCTAAAAAATGTATTTTATGTTTTTTCAATTTGCTTTGTTGGCTGGAAATTCAAAGAAAAGTGTTCAGCACCAAAGAGAATACTAATAACAATAATACATAGTTTTAAAAGGTGTGTAATTTCTCAAAGACCTGAGCTGAGTTGCATTTAAAAATCCTCATTTATTTTAACTTTACATTACCTTTTTGTTTGTATGCTGGGTTTGCGGTGTTCCTTGTTTTGGTGCTTGTCACAGATCCATATCAGTATCCATCTTTCCTCATCTCCTCATGTCGTATTTACTTTCTGGGTTTGGTATTTAGTCTGTGATGCCTGTGTGTCTCTTCATAGTGTTTCTGAACTCACCGTCATTATTTAGTTTTCCATCTCGGGACTGAAGTAGTTGCTGTAGCGTGATCATCCGGGTGTGGTCCCAGTGGCTGTTTTTTTTCCATTTGTTACCTTTTGTCTGAGTCATACTGCACAAACTTCCGTCCCTCCACCTGTAGATAGATGTAGCTTGTCCAGGTTTATCTGTAAATGGCATAATCCCGCTGTTAGTGTTTTAGTAGTTAGTTTTTTTTATCTGCAGCATGATACTCTAGTTATCACCAGGTTACCTTGAATGTACTGGAAGGAAAACAGGATCCCATTTAATATAATAACGATGTATACAATAGGGTTATGTGGTTAAGGTTTTTGTAGTTTTATTTTCATATATCTGACTTCATGGAATTATTCAGATAATCACAACAAACCAAACATCCTGACAAACATAACTGTATAAATATAAAGTCAGTTTCAGAGTCAGTCAACATATTTTATGTCTGATTTAGTTCATGGATAAATAAAATATGTTCTATAATCCTTATAAAGTATAACACTTATCTCTTGTAAGATATTTTTTCCTATTCAGCTTTACAAAAGAAAGAATACAATTTTATAAACTGGCATAAACTTTACCTCCATGAAGTCAGGGACTCACAAAAGACAATTGGTAAAAACTGAAGCAACAGAGGCCAGGATATCTTGATTTTTAGTTTTAGTTCTTACTTTAAGTTGCTAATATTTTAACAACTGTTATATAAAGTGGGATCTTATGATGAACTGAACTGTGTCAATGTTGGTGGTGGTTTTACTGTCGGTCATGACTGAAGTAACTATGGGTGAGATTTGTAACTATGGAGACGCAAAGCAGTCAAAATTAAATACATGAATGAGATATTATGAAATAAATAAAAATGAATAAATATAGAAAAATATGTAATAAAATTGTAAAATAATCCAACACATTTTTCAAAGGTTAGCTCATTATGTAATTGACTGTTAACTCATTCAGACCAAAACAACAGTTAATCACAAAAGTAGCTTTGTTCTGTTTCATAACGCCACTTTTAATCACAGTTACTGTGAAAAACGTTATAATAAAATAAAATATCAACTCATTACGTAATTTTATTAACAATTTTATAGTTATGTTGTATATTTTGTCTGTGTTTATTCTTATATTATTTATTTATGTAATATTAAACACGCGTTTCCTTATGTAACAGCCATAAAAAGCTTTGTAAAGGCCTGCTGACTGACCAGGACTTTGTAGGTCTTTAGAATTAGAGGAGAGGGTAGAGCCGTGGTGAAGTGTACCTGCCTTTTCTCTCCAGGGGGCGATGCCGGAGCAGCGGGCGGCTCACGCAGACAGCTACCGGCGGATCGGTGGACTGTAACACCGGGCGTCTTTCCCTGCTCTTCACTTTTAGCCTCTTTCTCTTCCCTCCAAGACTGCTCTCCTCAGTCCTGCTCTTCCTCTGCTATGTTTGGAGCCAAACTCTCACTCTGGCACACGATGCCATCTTCTTCTGCATCCTTATAGGAGATTGTGAACAAACGTGGTGCCTGATTCAAAAGGCATGAATGTGTAATTGTATTTCTCTGCTGCTAGGTGGCAGGAAAACACAGAAACGGCTCCTGAGGTTTTTCCCAATGGGATTTTGATTTAATAATGGCACTACCATTGAAAATTGAAAATTTGTCAGACATTCCTTATCAAATGTAGCGTTTACAAGCACACTACAACGTTTCTTGTCAGACTTTGAGTTTTGTTTGTGCTCTGTGCATTAAAAGCATTTTATAGTTGAAATACAGGGAATCTTTTTAACGCAGGGTGTATTTTCTGGGAATGTTCTCTTATGCACTTGTACCATTTATCATTGTCAGACAGGGTATATACATCCTCATGGGCTAAATCTTGTGTGATAGCTTGCCTTATGAGTGTTAAGTTGAGGCGAGGTTAGTGCCTAACAACCTTCTGAGTCTTTTCTAACAATCAAGCAAATTCAACCTGTAATTGTCAGGTGATGTTACTGTCTGTGTCCAGTCAGGGTTTATAGAGATTTTTTTTAATGAAGGTACTAAGTTCTCACTGTTTGTCTTTTGTTGTTTATGTCTGTATTTCTTATTCGACACTACACATAGTTGAATGTTTTCGTCAAGCTACCCGTTTATGTCGTGTTAGTGTTCTGGGACTGTGTGTGGCTGCTGCTGCTGCTGCTGCACAACCAAAGTGAATCACATCTTTCTGGGTTATGTTTTCTTTAAAGGACTGTTTATTCACAGAACTGTTTATCTGGTATTTATTATTAGAAAATCCATGTGAACCAAATCATTGTTTGTCCCCAGTAGTGTGTAATGTGTCATTATTTCCATTCATGTCATATCTGTGTTTGGTTTTTGAGTCATTCAGTGAGTCTTTTGTTCTTTTTTGCACAATGTATAGACTCAGATGTATTTTATTTGTTTTGTTATTTATTTTAATAGAATCATGCTAGGGTTTATTTTATTTATGCATTAAATTATTTTTTGTAGAGGTATCTGAAATACGTGGCATAATTTTATACCTCTATATATTTTATTTATTTTCTTAGTGATTGTCCTCTTCTTTAGAAATGTACCAGAAATCATTTAAGGTGGAAACCAAGATAAAATAAAGCTCTTAAATCATTCAAATGTGGTCTGCAAGTTGTTTTTGATTTTTCTCACTGACGTGTGTTCGAGTTTGTGGAAGCTCAAAGGGGGAAGAACATTTAAATTTTGATCAGCATTTTATGGCATTTGCAGCAATTTGTTGATATCGCTCACTGTCTTCTCACCAGGATGAAAGGGAGAGGAAAATGAAGAATATGGAGGAGCGTATGAAGGAAATTGAACTGTCGCTGCATAACGTCAAACTGCTGCTCAAAGAGAAGGTTGCTCAGCTGAAAGACCAGGTCAGTTTGAAAAGCTCATATTCATCAGCAGTATAATTAATGATGCGTCAAAAAACTACATATACGTAATAATTTGTAATGATTTTAAAGTGTGAGTTCATTAGGGACACAACATTTTGGTCTATATCAAGTATTCTCATATTCAAATCATTTAAATAAGCTTATTGGCATGAATGTTGAAGTTGCATTATTGCCAAATATAAATATAAAATTGTACAACCTATTCAATCATATGTACATAAACATAAAATCATGACAACAAATAATTAATGAGGAAAAGGTTACTACGCGTCCTGGAAAATCTTGAATACCTGAAAATTTAGAGACTAGTTTTCCAGTAATGGAAACACCTGGATATTTTATTAAAATGACCAAATATCTTGGAAATAATCTGTTGTGCTGGAAAATGTTATTGTATTATAGCACTGCAGCAGTGTCCCATAAGCTACCTCCTTGTAATAAAGCTGAGAAACTTCATCATGAACCGTGCATCATTTAAAAAGGGGGAATAAAAGAGCAGTCCTGTATTGTCAGGAAAAACTGCTGGAAAATGTCCTGGAAAATAGTTTCTTAAAAAGAGTGGGAACCCTGGAGGAGGCTCAAGCATGTACATATTTTGCAGCTTTCTCTTCCCACCAGGAAGAAAACTTTCTCAGTGGCGACAAAATATAGAGTAGACGTATCATTGAGAGCAAGTGAGCTGCAACAGGATAACTGAGGTTTACTCTCCAAATGGAACTTATTAATTATCAGTTTGATAAGCATACCTTAAATATGGTTATTGTGCAATTGCACGTACAGAGTAGGATGTTTTACAAGTAATAAACAATGTAATGGTGACACTTTTTCTAAATTATATATTAATTTTGTTCTCAGTTTCTTTGCTAGACAAACATACAGTATGTGTCAGAATAATCTATGTGCTAATCTAATATGTGCTTCCTCTGACTTTTCTAGCTGCACAAGAATGGAAAAGCAGACGTGTTGATCAGCGACCTGTATGTGGAGAACGCCCAGCTGCTGAAAGCTCTGGAGATAACTGAGCAGCGGCAGAAAATCGCAGAAAAGAAGAACTACCTACTGGAGGAGAAGATCTCCAGCCTTAACAAGATAGTGCGTGACCTAAACCCCTCGCCCCTTCCCTCGCTGCCTTACCACTATTAATGCTCATGATGTGTCACCTAAAGGTAGCGCTTAGCCTAGCAAATGCAAGTCCACCATAAACTGCACTGTTTTTTTTACTGAATATGTTTTATTTTTAACCTTTGTGCAACAGATGAAGCCAAAATGCACAAGAAAAATGCCTTTTTTTCCCTCTGTTGCATGTTTTATCTCAAGCCTAAATTGTACTGTGTTTAAATATGCAGTATTTTTATGTTGTGTTAAACCTATGAAGAACCAAATGTGACGTTAGACTGTAGAGAAAACTATTTATATTTTTCAACGCAGTTACTACTAACTTAATAAATATTTTACTATGACACTATATTTCTCTTTTTAAGAAGAGAGAAGCAATACTGAAGTGCACTTTTTTTTTTATATAAGTGTTCTTTTGTCTGTGTTGTCGAAGAGATGAATTGTGTTAATCTGTCTATCGGTTCCTTCTCTGGTCCTAATGTACACAAGCCTGTCAGTCGTGATATCATGTAAACAGAGAAGTCAAATAATCTGATGACCTTTTCGAGGTATTTGCTGTCATGTAACACTACCTGAAGTTACATTCACTCGAAATGAATGTCAAGTGGCAATACTTGTTTTTTTAAATACATTAGATTAAAATCTTATAAACGGTTGCAATATGTAAAGTTTTGTATGTAAAGCTTGTGCCATTTATGAATGTTTTTGAGTCAAATGAAGGACCATGCTGCCTGACCTTGAAGCATAAGCACTAAAGATGAAAACAGGGTGATGTTTTGCGTTACAGGCATAAATAAAATGCACAGATTGTGTACAGTTTGATTTCTTGATGGTTTAATTTGTCAGTGCTGCTGTTTGGAGAGGATCTCAGTCTATAGAAGGTAATGAAGTATATTTTACTCAAGTTTTGTACCTGAGTGCAATTTTAAGGCACTTGTACATTCACATTTTCAGATTTTATGTGACTTTATACTACACAATACTTATTTAACAGCTACAGTCACTAATTATTTCTCCCAATATTTTAATGCATACTGATGACATGCTTCTGAAACCTGCTCCAACTCTACCATCTACAGCGTTAATATATAGATGTATAGGTATTTATGCATCTCTGACTGGGACTACACACTCTGCTGTATACTTTTAATGCATTTTGTTTACTAATATTTATGTACTTTTACTTATTTTAAGTATTTTAATGCAGGTCTTTTACTTGTAATCAACTGTTGGGCAGTAATTTAATACTAGTAATAATATTACTTTGCCCAGTAACTAGTAGTGTAACTACTTATGAATACATTTCAGTAATAATATTGCAGTTACCTCCAAATTTTTTTAAATCTTTTTGTAATCATGGAGGAAACCCTTATATTCAGCGGTTGGAAATATTCACATTACTTTGATTTTACTGGATTTTAATTGTCATAACTCTGATTTTTGGGCAGAAGGGGCAACATTACTAATTTTTAATTAGTTACAAGTACTAGTAGTGTAACTAATTACCGTTGATAGGGAGTAATAATTACTTTTGAATAGATTAATGAGTTTTCTTGACTAACTAACTACTTATACTTATTGTTTTCAGTGTATTATTGCAACTTTGAATACTTTTTGCCCTTTAAAACGGATATATATATATTTAATTTAAAGAACCTACAGAAGTGCAATGGCTGCAGCTCCTAACTCCCCCAGTTTAGAGTCACAACACATGAGTTTAATAACCGTGAGTCACATCACTGAATGAGCTCAGCTGTCAACACGATCCGTGTATCCGCTCGCAGAGGTTGAGTTACAGGATGGGCAGGACCGTACAGTAACCAGTGAGGACCAGGCTCAGAGCCGGACTGGACCTCCGGAGGAAACACTCCCAACTTAAAACTCACTAAAGGAAAAAAGAAAAAAGGGAAAGAAAGGCTTTACAATGTTCACTTTCCGCGCTCTGCAAACTGAACGGGACGGATGCGGAGGCGAGGGGTCGTGGCCATGACATTACAGCGCCGTGTTGTTGATGTGTTCCGAGCCTCGAAGTTATGCTCTCACGAAAGAAAAGTAAAAACGAAGCGTCGAAACCAGCCGAGGTCCACGGGAAGTATGTGAAGAAGGAAACGTCGCCGCTGCTCAGAAGTAAGAGCAGCAAGTTGTTAGCCAGCCAGCTAAGTTAGCTCGGAGGTTTAGCTTCAATTAGCCTGCATGTGAATTAAACTGCTTAAAACAAGTAGAGAGTTAACGAAAACTGAGTGTGTGTGTGTGTGTGGGGATATAATGCAACATGAATGTGGCTCGTACGCTTAAAGAGCAGCAGTTAACAGCATGTTTTTTTGTTTGTACAACTTTAAACAAGTTGCTTCAAGTGCTAGCTGGCTAAAATGCATCCTGCTACGTTCACGTCAGGAAGAGTCGTGTTTATGAGCAGGTATATTATAAAGATATCCGATTAAAGACGTATTCGACTTTATTTTCTGTTATTTGTAACTGTTTCTGATGTTATGCTCAGTGGAGTTTTTTACTAAAAAAGTCAGATTTGTTGTTAGTTAGCTTTGTCTGTCCGGTACAAACTGAGTGTTGTCATCTTTTCTTGACTTACCAAAGTGCCTTTTTACTGACATTTAAAATGCGTTATGTTGTTAGTGGTTTACCTGTTATTTTAGTGTGGAAGAAGTTTTAAACATATGTACTTAAAACAGCAATACTCTGCTGTAAAAATACTACATTGCACTGCATTCACTGTTTTTACACAAGTGCCTAAATGTAGGAAGCTATTATCAGCTAAATGAAGTAAAGTATCAAGTAAATGCAGTCACTGTGCAGACAGAAAGGCCCCTGTGGGTGTAATAATGTGCTATATTATTCATACATTAAAGCCAAAGTGTTAAGTGGAAGAATTTTAATATTATAGTTCAAAATGGGGCTAAAATAAACGACATATATATATTATATACTGTTGGGAGGTTAAAGCTACACAATAAATCATGTTTTGTAACGTGATCATTTGAATTTGTATGTTTAATTTCCATCTGCCTAATGTAGCAGACTAAGGAAATACTCAAGTACTTTATATAAGTGTAGTACTTGAGTGAGTGTACTTGGTTACTTTACTCCACTGCCTACTTTTACTACTACTGTTATGTTATTTAATCTTTTTTGAATCAGGCAGTCTCAATGAGATTAACATCTCTTTTCCAAGAGAGACCTGAGAACAACAGGCATACACAATCACAGTAGTCAAAGGTCAGGTGCAAGAATCACTGAAAACATCAGATAGTAAAGTTTTAAAGTCTCCAGTGGGAATGCAACACTCAGGTTTAAGGGCATTTTGCATTGCGTTGACTCATATTCGCTTGATTTGTTTACCTGCTTGCAGATCTAATGCCCTCATTCATCCGTCATGGCCCCACTATTCCCAGACGCACAGAGGTCCCTCTACCAGACATGGGGCCCTCCTACCCCGTGGCACCCAGCCGGGAGCCTGTGGTGTCCCGCAACAAGAGTTTTCTCCGTACCCCCGTGCAGAGGCCTCCTCATGAGGTGGCCCGCCGAGAGAGCCACCGCATGTCAGCGCCTCCGTACCTGCCTCGCAGTCTGGGAGACCTGCCCCACGAG